TAGAATTGATTGATTTGGTGAGATTTTTTGGACGGAATTATTTGAAAAGAATGAAATACTTTTATTCAAAATGTTAAATTTTGTTGTGAAGGAGTTTGAATAGAGATTTTTCTTTCTTTTTTTCTTTTTTTTTTTTTAAGGTGGATGATATAGATATTTCTATTATAGGATAGATTTCATTACGCTTTCACCCTCAGCCCTTAACGGGGGAACTTCATCAATTGCCTTAAAGCAGCGTCGAAGTTTAGTGGTAAGAATCTTTCTTTCCTATCACCAATGGATTAGCGTTGGTAGTTGAAGCTCCACATAAATACAATTATTCCACTTGTACAGAACTATTTCATCTGTAAAAATGACAGAATACTCACATGGGGGTGGGCACCATGTGAATAAAATATTATGATAAAAAATGAGACCCACCCCCATGTGTGTGATCTGGTATTTTTACAGATGAAAATTTTCTGTAACAGTAGCACAGCTCACATAAATAATGGCGTCGGTCAATGTACTCTCTCGGCATTAAGTTTACTAGCATCGACCAATAGAAGAGTCTACTGAAAATAATTTTCGAAGTACATAATTACTTATGAATAAATTGAACTTTAGTGAATGATATATTTGAAATGCACGTAAAAGTTACTGAAATGTAAAATTTTTCTAGGGTCCTTACTCTTTTCTTAGTGTGAGATTTATGTTTCTATCATTTCGTTTGTGCCACCAAATGTCTCCAGCCTATCTACATTCTCTGTTTGATGTTACAACTCGATGGAAAAATTCTATACAAATAGTAAAAAGTCATGCAATAGACACGTGATAAATGATTGGTAGGTATAATTATCCAAAAATAATCTTCCCCATTCCAAAAACTAAATGATTGACTATTAATCGACTTATATTCAGACCCTTCACATTATTGCAACCCGTTGAAAGGATTTTGTTTTAGCGACACAACAGTCACGTATTGCCAAGATTTTAACAAGGGTTTCATTCCAACGTTTGGCCAAGATCTTCATGGTTTCTGTCGAGTTGGGATTTAAAATGTTGCAGCATACAGGGTAACACAAACAAAAGAACTGAGACATGAATATCTCATTTAACAAAGGTTGAGAACCTTGGAGGAATTTACCTTCTCTTCCCCAATAAATTTCATATATAACTGATTAACATGGGGTTTCGTGGGGTTTTGTCCCTTCCCTTTAATTTTCCTCGTCTTTATCTACTTGCCTACAATCAAATCGTTTGTTTCAGTCAGATTGTACGTATTAGAGCCATAGAATGCGACAATGAGAGTCACAACTCAGAAGCCGAGGTTACGTGCATGCATGAACTGTTTATATCAGAAAATTCTGACCCCTCCTCACTGTAAAGTGTAACCAACTCAAAACCCTACGTAAAACTAAACTAGTACTTGAGATATCCTTTTAGAGAAGAAAGGCTTCTCAGCCAATTACGAAGCAGCCATTTCTCGACTTATTCGAAATAAATTAAGCGCCTATCTGAGTTTTATTATTTTTCAAACTCATTTTCAACCATACATTATTTCAATAAAATAATTTTATACGTAAATTCATTTTTTTTTCTTATTTTTAACCACACAATCTCAAAAAATCATTTTTTTACAAAATATATTTTAGCTTTCAATAAGCTCTTTCTTTTTTCAAGCTATGACGGGCTTGAGTAGTTATTTTGCTGACCGGGATGCCCTGTCCAGCGAGTATCGTGATACTACTTCAACAGGGCTAAATAAGTTTTCGATGTTAAAATTCTATATGACTGAAGACATGTAATTAATAATACCCTAAATAGTTACTTTTGACGACGCTGGAGTGACTAATTGGAAATGTTTATAAATTGTTCAAAATATAAATGAATAAAAATGTTATTTAAGCTATTTGTACATTAAGTTTGACACCCTTATTGATAGATGGGTGACGTGGCAAGATTGTGATGGTTGGATTAAATGTGTGAGATGTAAAAGATGATGTAAGATGGTACCAAGTGTAAATTTGGTAAGCTATAGTATAAATCAAGATGTACATGTAGCAAGATTGTAAAAATATATAGATAAAAAGTGCTTCGATGGTTTATAAACACTTTAGAAACATTAGCCAAACATCAAAGAATGCAGATCGATCCGGAGAAAAACTAGACTAATCAGTGTATGTTTGATGTATTGTATCAGACCCTACTCAACTATACATTGGACACAATTTAAGCTCTCTTTTTTTTAGTTTTTTTTTATCATTTTTAACACTCTCTGATCCACTTATATATAATTACACTTGACGAATTTGTGATGAAAGTAAGACTTAAAAGCCATTAAGAACATGGTTTACCCCAAAAAAAAAAAAAAAAAGACAAGAAAAATCATGCAAAAAGGAGTGAAAACTTGCATATAACCATTACACAACTACAGTTCAATTCAAATAATACTGAGAAAAGTTCCATTGGTCATCACATCAAATGCCAAGAATTTCATTTAAATTTGAGTAGATAACAAAATTGCTGCTATAAAAACTGTTAATGGCAACGATTACATGCAAATTACAGCACCATTTCCTGAGGGAATAGACAGTAACCTATAAGAGACAAGCTCTGGAAGAAGAGAATATGACCACCCTAGAATACAAACGTAAAAGATGTCAACTAACCCACCATGAAATGAAAATCTATATATTTAAAATATACGAGATTTTGATACGTTGAATTGCCTTATCTAAAATGTTAAATGTCAGAGACATGACAACTTGATTTATTTAGTATACTGACTTCAACATGCCCTCTCGAGCGCAAGGCTTGAGACGTGCATGACAGCATGTCTACTTCTATACCTAGTTGAACCATAAGTCTATGTTAAAATTAATAAATCAACAATTTTGTTTATGCTTAGTAAATAAATATTTCTTTTTGATATTATTGTTTTACTAGAGTGAGTAGTTTGTCTTAACCATAGAAGTGGAGACTATTTATTTATTTATTTTTATGTCTTTTTTGTTATGTTTAAATATTGACGAAAAAATAATACTAATTAAATATTCTTAATGAAAATTGAACCAAAAGGATATCATATTACGCGATTGATGGGTTATTTTGAGAGGATGGAGATGCATAGCATAGATGTCCGGTCGCCCTTGCTAACTCGAAATCCTGGGTCCGTCGCTAACTTGAATTTTTTTTTTTTTTTTAATCCGATCCTGAACATGTCATTGCTCTGTACGGGACTATTGGGGTCACTTTGATAGGATGGAGATGCATAACATATTCGTGATGTCAATTTAGGACAAATGAAAGACTATTAGAACTAGTGCTATAAAAGCATTATCAAACATAAATAGTTTTATGTTGTAATCAATAATTTAAAGAATATTGTGACATTATTCTGATAATGTTGTTTACTTCACAATTAAGTGAATGATGTATATTAACTATAGCAATAGAGACATATCTTTCACATTTATGACTTCTTCAGTTTTAATCTTGTCTAATACTAAACAATGAACATTCTTATTTGAAAGCTTTAAATTATTTAGATCCACGTGCGAAATTACACAATTAAAAGTAACAAGTCGCTTTTTAATTGTTTCTAGATAATTATATCAAACAAGCTGAATACCACAATTAATAATTAAACCAATAAAAAATACCAAAGATGATCACAGAGAAACCCTAACTAGGAAAAACTTCGGGCACTTTGTCAATTAGTAATCCATCATAAATAGAAGTAAACTTACAGTATGATCAAGACCAATCCTTAATCCTATTGAATGTGTACTCCTTCAAAAGAATCTCGACTCCTTATTTATACCTTAACCCTCCTGAATTTGTACTTCTACAACAGCTCTCGATCCCTAGTATCGATTTATCTTCGGTGGATTATGTGGTTTAGTGTTTGATCGATAGATGTTGTGTGTTTTGATATGTGGTTTAATACGAAATAATATGACTTGATCAACAAAATATGTTTTGGAAAAATTTATATATCAAATAATATGTGGTGGTTGAATTTTGGAATCAATGAATGTTTTGAATATTTAAAGATTTCTATGGAATAAATATGATTCAACACACTTTTGAACATTCATATGGTAGAATATATATAGAAAAATGTTTGTGATGAAAATTGATTGAAAAAGGAAGTATTTGAAGTAAAACAGATTTTTGAACGTCGACATGTCGCTCGAGCGTCAAGCTAGCGACATGCGAGCAGTAGCTGAGCAATCTTCAGTAATTTTATCAAAACTTTCTCTCCTGATATTCGACTGAGTTGATTTAAAATACGTTGGAAAACTAACTCAAATGTCTACAATAATTCAAGATAGTCTTATTCAAATTTCAATATTTTTTATGCGAAAATGCGTTGTAAATTGTGACTAAGAATTTGGAACATAATTTGTATGACTCTTTGACACTCTTTAAACTTCTAATTGAATTCAATTGATCATAAGTGATCTTCTTGGACATTTTGGACTCCTGCAACGACTATACTGCTAACCTTAACTCTTTGGCTTTAATAAGGATTTAATAAATCATATTTTGACTTTTATTACAACTCGATAAACTTCTAATACAATTCAGTTAGGATTTGATTTTGACTAAAAAAATTGCCAATTACAAATTTGGAAATTGTCAATTATAATTTGGACTTAACATTATTGAAGTGGAAAAGGATTATTTTTGTAAAAAATCCAAACGACATATTGTGGGAAGGAATCTTGCACATATTTTATTCAAGAAATTCAAATGACACATGAAGGGGACCCATTTGAAATATAACTGGATGTCAACACGTTAGATTATTCATCAATTTTTCTAAAAGAAAAAAATTGAATCCCAACTCTTATATGCATATAAAGTCAACCCCTCGCTCTCTCTAATATTTCTATATAATATATGCTCCCCAATACTAGCCAAAAATTTGTCTTCAACTATTATACAAGCTGAAAACCCTAAGTTTCTCTGAATCTTTCTCCTAAGTTCTTTGCTTCTGCCCAATACGTATCATGAATAATGAACCCAATCCTTCTCTCACTTTAAGTTTATCAGCAATCGAGCTCAACCTCGAACCGGAACCGGAACCTGAACCTTCATCTCTTCCTCGATCGTCGTTGTCTTCACCCAGGGTCGAACCCCGAGTTTTCCCCTGTAACTACTGCCGGAGAACGTTTTACAGTTCCCAAGCTCTTGGGGGACACCAAAATGCTCACAAACTCGAGAGAACCTTAGCCAAGAAAAGCAGAGAACTAAGTTCAAGTTTTCGGCCTTACGAAGGATATAGCCTAAAGCTTGGACCAAGTTCTAGCAGACAGAGATTTCGTGGTTATATGAGAGAAGTGAATTATGATCAGTGGAAAAAGGAATATAAAGCTGATAGTCATGTTCAAGAAGAGCTCAGCCAGGTTGATTTATCTCTAAGACTTTGATTTTCCATGCAAAATTGTTGGATGTAAATAAATAAATTTAAGTCGAGATGGTAACATGTACTCTATGTCTCATCCCTAATCATTTGTAAAATCTACACCCATAAGAACTTTAGTTGAAAAATGAAATTAGTGTGCACTCGTGTTAGTCCAATCCCAGGTCATTTGAATACTTGCAATAATTTATGTAAGATAGACGAACACGACGAATTAAAATCCCAGTTAGTCTTTCAATTCGTTCTCTCGAAGTGTAATATCTTCCATATTTATTAATGTCACATCGTTCATCCAACTTATTGGGTTTGCTTTTTGGCTAGCAGGACATCTACGTAACTAATACTTGAGGCAAAGACATTACATGTCACTTTTGTTGAAAGACCATTAGCATGGGATAAAAAAAAAATTGGAATCTTNTAGCATGGGATAAAAAAAAAATTGGAATCTTATCATTTGAATATCATGGAGAAAACGCGTTAAATAAGTCATTTTCTAATGAGTTAATTGTTGAGTTTTGTCCATGCAACATTTTCATGGTTTCTTCCATGTCCTCATTTTCTCTTTCTACAAGTATCAATATAATTATTGCTAAACTCTTAAATTTGAAATTTAAACCAGTGGATATAAAGTAAATTATTTATTTAGATTATTTTTTACACAACACGCAATTTAACGCTCATTAATTATTTTGGTAGAAAATCTAACACATGAAATTTTTATAAACATATAACAACGTAAAGAATAGGGATGGCAACGGGTCGAGGCAATCTCCTCAGCCCCCTGCTCCGCCAAGCAATTCTCAGTCCTGTCCCGTCTCCGTCCCGTTACCCGTTTAAGGCGGGAAATACCTGATTAAGAGGGTTATCCCCGCTCCATTCGGGACGGAGCCTCATGGATATTAGGTTTGTCTGGTTTTTTTGTGCAATCCCTAGTAAATAAGTCAAAGATTTAAGTAGTGTCAAATCTCACACTGGAATTTAGGGTTTAGTGCAAACTATGAAAATTTAAGGTTCAAATGAAAATTCAAATTTTGGTTGTATCATTGACAATTAAAAATCACAAAAGGATTAGTAGCGAACCTTTCTCAAAGCAAATCGAACCATGTGCAAGCCCATGATAGAATCAAGCATTTGTAACGTGAAGCACTATAATCAATCTCGAGTGTTTATTACGAACAAATGTACTTAATTGGGTTCATCAGCTCTTCTACATTAGCAGAACCTGTTATCGAGGCATATATGAATGTGAGCGTGAAGCATGACTTAGCCAATGAATAAGAAACACGTGAACAAGCGAATAAAACAAATTCAATTATAAATTTCACTAATCAATAGTTGTCATGTGTCACAAAGATAAAACCACCATTTTTCCTCGAGACTTGGATATAAATCTATAAATAAGCACAGTCGAGAATTAAGAAAGATATGCAAATTTGAGTATTCTCGCTTCAAATAGTCATTTCATTTCTTGCTCCTACTAATGTTGAATATGTAAGTTTAGGAGAAGAAAACCCTGACCAGGTAAAAGAAAATTTGTTCATCATTATTCTAAGGTCAACATGTACAATTACTAATCCAACATTTTGTACATATGAATGCATGCCAAGTGGATGCATGCAATCGTGCCATATGGCACTTGTGTAATGTCAAAGTAGACAAAGAATGGGACTTTGCCATGTCACTAATTACCCCGTGAAAAAGGGTTCAATGAAGACAACCTCAAAATCTGTCGAGCCATCATCGAGGAAATTTTCGAAGAATCTAAGCAAATTTATTAATCCTTGTTAAAAATCAAGACAGCCCATTAATTATGTTGGAATTAGGATAAGCGTGCAATGAGTCACCACAAATTTTGCTTAAGCGTTCGCTGTGTACTTAGATTAAAACATATTGATTATTTGTCGAGCAAAACGCTCTAATTAACTGCCAATATAAAGATTGAATTACAATGAAGAAAATTATTTAGAAAAACAACTAAGTAGAATCATGTAACTATAAGTCGATAATTAAAGGCACCTTTAGGTGGGGGGTGGGGGTGGGGTAGGGGTAGGCAAAATATTTAAGGTTATTTTAAATAGTACCTGAAGAAAATAATACAAGTCGATGAATTCGATGAAACTGCTGATAGTAGTACCATTAGTAGTCCTCAATGCTCATCTGTTAATGACAATCGTCGATAATGTTATTTGTGACGTCGTTGGCAATCATCGAAGATGCTAATCTGACAATATGACCCATAAATGAACGTGCCCTCATTATATGGGGTTTTTTTTTTTTAATGTTTAAAAACACTTTAGCCTAACTTTTTAAATATCAAACTTGAATTGATTACCCATATATCCAATTCTAAAATTATCCTAAAAATATTTAAAGAAAATATAAACGGGGTGGCGAAACTACCAACCCTCCCTTAAGCGAGGATCAGGGTGGGGTGTGCCCCGCTCTGAAATTATTTGAAATTGTTATTTAACTATAAAAATGATGTAGGACAACTAGCTTTAGAGTTTGAAGAAGTGTTGGACAGAAAATTAACAAAAAAATATCGTGCAATGGGCAATTTTGTCATTTGTCGCGACGGTGTAGGAAATGGCTGAAATTTGGCTGGTTGATTGAAAACGACCCGAAAAATTGGACTCGGGACAAAGCTCGAGATCTCAGGATTTTAGCCAAATTCCTTCGTTTAAACCTCAGAATAATTAATTTTCATATTTTCCGTTTTGAATTTTAGCTATTTTTGGAACGTTTTACTATTCTATACTATGTTTTTAGGGTTTCTTGTAACACCTATTTAAAGGCCTTTTGAACGTTTTCGGCATTATAATTGATTGCATACAAGTTTCGTTCTTGGAGAATTCCAATTTTCTTTTTTTCAAGATTTACGCTGGTAAATCTTTTACATCCGTTCTGCGTAAAAAAATAAAAATAAAAAATTCCTAAAGCTGATATTCTATTTTCTTACATTTATTATTTTATTTAAGAATTAAGAGAATTATATTTGTAAATTTAACAAAAACTCCAATATTAATGTAACATCTACTGTGCCTTGTCAAAATATGGGACTATTAAGTGCCCGTCTAATCTATTTGGACTAATTTTCTGGTTCATTTCCCATCATCCTCATCCTCATCCAATAAAATATCAGGATGAATATAGAAATTCGTGTTACGTGAAAAAGTTAAAATAATTAGAGTAACATTACAAAAGAAATTCGTCCAAATCAAATCCATTAACCATCTATATCTTCGTTAATTTGTCACATCTACGAAGTAATATGATCACCATCCCACTTGCAAATGGTCCAATCAACATCCATTTTGGGCATGTCATTTCCTTTTATCCCTAAAGATAATGTCTTACTTGTGCACAATATCACGTTACAATTGACAATAATTCATTTGATTTGATGCATCGAGCATAAATGCATATTATCGTGCAACTAATAACTTAGTTTAGTACACAACAATTACACAACTTAACACGTAATTGGTACATTTGGGCCCAACGATAGACCAATAATGTTGAATATCCAAGAATTGTGAGGACATTATGTTCTCCACGTTGAAATCCATAGACATGAAAAAAGACTTTAATTTGATTAGTAATTCAACATTGTGTGGCAACAATTTACGAGTTTGAGGATGTTATTTCTCAAACTCGACTTGGCAGTAGAATTCTTTGAGAGTTCGATACAACATATTGTGTTAGATTGATTAAAATATATTATTAAACTAAACGAATACAAAATCACATGTCAATTTGGTCTCAATTCATATGTTTGATGAGATCAAATTCATCTCGTGAGTTAGAATTTAATAAATTATTTGAAATATTTTGTCGCGAAATACTGCCACTGACTTTGGCATCAATAAGAATACGAGCGTTGATGTTACATCTTAAAAAATTAATATGTTAATATAAATATCTTATATATATTTATATGTTAATTATTAATTTTATATTATATGCAATGACTTGAAGATTGATGGCAACATTATATTAATTGTCAAAAATTAATTCAATAAAAAAAAAAGTTTAAAGTTTCATTAACATAATGCAGTTTAGTTGTTCTAGTCAAGATTAAAGAAACTCTTTGACTTATTTATGGGACAGGACATCAAGGTTGTAATAAGAGACGAACACATAATGGGAACACAGAATGTGTCTGCCATTGACATAGGTACCAGGACAAAACTTAATTGCATATAAATCGTGTGTTTTGTATCGTGGTTAGGGAGAGACAACCGTTCATTTACATCTTGCCTTTATCATGTCTCCTCATACAAGGGAACATGTTAATGAGAAGATTTAAATGAACATGTATAGTAGGAATGATAAAAAAATTCGTCAAACCCGATACCTACAAGGTCCCACACTGAACGGGACGGAGATTACCCTTTTAATCGGAGTATTCGGGTCAGGGACGAGGCACATATGGGTAACAAGGCCAAATCTCACAGCTACTCGTTTAAATAAAAGAAAACAAAAGAGTGTATATGTAAAACTTTTCATGAAAAAAATTATTTTGAATAATGTAATGGAACATATTGAATATAAAATGCAGTTCAATGAACTTTTAGATTAGGTAACATATATGTCTACTTGTAGACTACATTTTGGAACGAACACAAACATTTTATATGAATTATATCATTTGATGCTTCCATCTCGTACGAGTTTTTTTGGTTGATCAGCCCATTTAGATAGATTTTGTTTTGAGAAAATTACCTAAAACTCTGCAATTAAAGATCAGTTTTCATAAACAAGGAGATTAAATTTAAAGTTCAGATTTCAGATGGTAAATAAAATTATTAATTATAATTATTAAAAAATTAAATCTACATATTCATCAATCCACCCCAACCCACCCCACCCCTGATTTATCCCAAACTGATTTCATCTCATCTCTCTCTCACTCTCTCCATCCATCCATCCTCTTCCTCTCTCCTCATTTTCCACCAACAGCCACCGTGAAGCAGCGCCGTTGGGATCGAGTCATCACAACCACAACCGCAACGATTGGGCCACAGGCTGGGGAGTTTGCTGCAGACCCACCACCCCAATGCCCCGACGACGACTGTGCAAACACCATTTCTCGTGTTGATGAACTGAGGAGCATCGCCTAGCTTCATCGCTGTAGAGGCGAGTTATTGCTGGCAGCGTTGTCCTTGCTTGCTTCACTATTAGGGCTAGAGTGGAATATAATATTCAATTTTTAATTTTTGAAAACATTTTGTGATGATTCAGAAAAGAATCTGAACTCTGCTGGGACTCTATTGCCTCTGAACTCCAGAAGCGGAGCTCTGACGCTACCTTAACTCTATTGTTCAGGTC